TCTCTGAACTTTTCCTGTATCTGGCGGGCAGCAAAGATCATGTCATTGGTGCCACGTGATGGTCTGGAGCCGCATTGAGATTCTGGGAGGAAATTTTCCGCCTTAGGAAGAAGTCTGTTTACGAGGACTCAAGCGATAATCTTGTCAGCTGCGGAGAGGAGCGAGTTCCCGTGGTAGCTGCCACAGTCTGACCGGTCTCCCTTGTTCTTATACACATTAACGACTAGCAGAAACGCCGCCCTCCGGGCGGCTTATTCGCTAGGCCACGGTAGGATGCCACCCTCCGGGAGGCTCCACATTGTCTCACTGTTCAGTCCCCAAAACTTCTTCTTCCATCAATAGTTCATTAACGGTGTATGTAAGTTCCACCATGTTTTTCACTACAACGGTACAGCAAAGTATATAATTTTTAGCATTAAACTGTTATTATTTTATTGTCTAATCATCACTACATATAACACCACCCATCATCACTACATATAACATCATTCATCATCACTACATATAACACCACCCATCATCACTACATATAACACCATCCATCATCACTACATATAACACCATCCATCATCACTACATATAACACCATCCATCATCACTACATATAACACCATCCATCATCACTACATGTAACATCATCCATCATCACTACATATAACACCATCCATCATCACTACATATAACAACATCCATCATCACTACATGTAACACCACCCAGCATCACTACATATAACACCACCCAGCATCACTACATATAACACCACCCATCATCACTACATATAACAACATCCATCATCACCACATGTAACATCATCCATCATGACTACATGTAACAACATCCATCATCACTACATATAACACCATCCATCATCACTACATATAACAACATCCATCATCACTACATGTAACATCATCCATCATCACTACATATAACAACATCCATCATCACCACATGTAACATCATCCATCATCACTACATATAACACCATCCATCATCACTACATATAACACCACCCATCATCACTACATATAACATCATCCATCATCACTACATATAACACCATCCATCATCACTACATATAACACCACCCATCATCACTACAAATAACATCATCCATCATCACTACATATAACACCATCCTTCATCACTACATATAACACCATCCATCATCACTACATGTAACACCACCCATCATCACTACATATAACATCATCCATCATCACTACATATAACACCATCCATCATCACTACATATAACACCACCCATTATCACTACAAATAACATCATCCATCATCACTACATATAACACCATCCTTCATCACTACATATAACACCATCCATCATCACTACATGTAACACCACCCATCATCACTACATATAACTGCCATCATCATCACTACATATATACCCATCATCACTACATATAACACCACCCATCATCACTACATATACTTACCACCCATCATCACTTCCATATAACACCACCCATCATCACTACATATAACACCATCCATCATCACTACATATAACACCACCACATCATCACTACATATAACACCACCCATCATCACTACATATAACATCATCCATCATCACTACATATAACATCATCCATCATCACTACGTATAACACCATCCATCATCACTACATATAACACCATCCATCATCATTACATATAACAACATCCATCATCACTACATATAACATCATCCATCATCACTACATATAACAACATCCATCATCACTACATATAACACCATCCATCATCACTACATATAACACCATCCATCATCACTACATATAACATCATCCATCATCACTGCATATAACACCATCCATCATCACTGCATATAACACCATCCATCATCACTACATATAACAGCATCCATCATCACTACCTATAACACCATCCATCATCACTACATATAGCACCATCCATCATCACTACATATAACACCATCCATCATCACTACCTATAACACCATCCATCATCACTACATATAGCACCATCCATCATCACTACCTATAACACCATATCATCACTACCTATAACACCATCCATCATCACTACATATAACACCATCCATCATCACTACCATATCATCACTACATATAGCATCCATCATCACTACCTATAACACCATCCATGTCACTACATATAACACCACCCATCATCACTACATATAACATCATCCATCATCATATAACACCATTCATCATACTATAACACCACCCATCATCACTACATATAACACCATCCATCATCACAACATATAACACCATCCATCATCACTACATATAACACCATCCATCATCACTACATATAACACCATCCATCATCACTACCTATATATCACTACACAACATCATCATCATCACTACATATAACACCATCCATCATCACTACATATAACACCATCCATCATCACTACATATAACACCATCCATCATCACTACTTATAACAACATCCATCATCACTACATATAACACCATCCATCATCATCACTACCTATAACACCATCCATCATCACTACAGATCGGTAAAGTAGTTTCCGAGATTCTCGTGCGGACACACACACAAACAGACAAACTTCTTTGTTTTATATAGATATAGATAGAGGCATTCATAAGAGCTTGGGGCTTTCCTCCTTTTCCCATATCTTCTCCAGGAGAGAGTGGAGACGGCACACACACACACACACACACACACACACACAGTACTACTACTACTACTACTACTACTAATTTACTGTCACTTGGAATCAAGTATGACGATCATCCAGCTATTATACAGGGCCGTCCACAGATATTGCACGTGTGGAGGGCTACATCTACTGCGGAAGGAGTGGCGACAGCGTCTTTCCGGCTCTGGCGCTTGTCTGCCTGAGTCTATAGTCAGGCTAATTTGAAAGTATTGACACCTCAAGTGGTGCTTCTTCAAGCGTTACAGTGTGGAGCGATCGTCTCCCAAGTGAGGGGGCTGACTTGAAACTTTTTCAGTGCTCATCTTAATTAAAACTATCCTTATACATTTTCAGTTGCCCGCCAGCGTTACGTTTACTATTCGTTAGGTGACTGTAAAGTAGCTGCTTTGGCAGTCTACTGTAACATGACCAGTTCAACATAGTGTTTGTGAATAATGGCAACCTTGCTACTCCTAATATTGGTGTTAGCAAGAATACATTAATTTTTTCTCTTGTCTTCCAAGCGAATTCGGACGATGGAATGTAGACTACGTTGGTGAAAGTTTTCAAGTGCCTTAGGTGCCTCTTGTATGTGACCCATGTCTCGCTGCCATATAGCAGGGTGGGGAGGACCACTGCTCGACATATACGTACAACTTTGTAGATAATTTCAGCTCCCTACAGCTGAAGACAAGGGTATGCAAGTTGCCAAAAGGCTTGACATGCACATCTGATCCGATGTTGATTCTCGTCATCAATGTCCGCGATGGTAGACAGGTGCGACCCAAGGTAATGGAGGTGGTTAACATTAGAGAGGGTAGTATTGTTAACTTGGATGGATGGTAGAGGTGTGCTTGAAGTTGGGACAGGTTGATAGAGAATCTGAACCATACATATGTTCACCTCAACGCCAAAATGTACATATGCATCTGTGTAGGTGTTCAGGATCTTCAGTAATTCACGCCCATGCTAGAACGACGAGGGTGAGGTCGTCTGCATATTGAAGTTCAGTGATGGAAGCAACCGAAACACTTGTTCTTGCCTGGAGTCGTCTAATATTGATAAGTCCATTCATCCGGTATTGGATGCCCACCCCGCCAGCTAAATTGACACTGGCACGAGTAAAGACAACCAAAAATACGAAGAAGAGTTGGTGCCAGTACACATCCCTGATTAACTCCTGGTTAGATAAGGAAGGACTGAGACTGGATACCATTGTGCAGGACACTGCTGTTCATGCCATCGTGGAGTTGCCTCACAATGGCGATGAATTTTGGAAGATAGCCAAAACAACTGAAGGACCGCCAGTGGGTTTCCCTTAGTTAGGTCAATGAAGGCTATGTACAAGTCACGATGTTGTTCTCTGCACTTTTCCTGTATCTGGCGGGCAGCAAAGATCATGTCATGGTGCCATGTGATGGTCTAAAGCCACATTGAGATTCTGGGAGTACGTTTTCTCCCCGAGGAAACAGTCTTTTTATGAGGACTCGGACGATAATCTTGCCAGTTAATGACAGCACTGAGATCTGCAGTTGATGCAACAGTCTGACTGGTCTCCTTTGTTCTTATAATTATTGACGATAATTTTTGGGGATTTCCTCCTTTTCTCATATAATTTCCAGGAGAGATTGGAGACGGGTGGGATTCCATCATGCCCCGTGGCTTCATTATTTTTCATCTGTTTGATGGCAGTAGCTGATGGTCGTGGTTTGTCAGCTCTGGATGCAGAGGGACCTGCTGTGTAATTAGGACATCCACATTGGTATTTCAATTGATCAGGGAATCGGAGTGCTCTTTCCAGCACTGAAGAATTCCTTCTTCGTCTTTAATTAGGGAGTTATCGTTGGGTGAGTGGAGGGGGGCCACGCCAAAGAAGTAGCGCTTTAAGGGAATTTTAAAATTTTGCAACTTGGGTTGATCCCAAAATGTTTGTGTTCCACAAACTTTTTTATTCGACCATTCGTCGCCTTAGATCGGAAAGTATGCACTGGGCCATAGCTTTCTTCTGACGTAAGGTATTAACATTGGTCCGTGCAACAAGAGGATTGTTCTTCCAGTCAGGGAAGGCAGCACGTTTACCATTGACGAATACGTCAATTTCCTGGTTATGTTCATTAACCCAATCCTGGTGTGTTCTTTTGATCTGGCCGAGGGTCTGGCTGCAGGTTTTTGTGATGGCAGCAATAAGGATACCCCATTAGGCTGTTTATTGTTGGGTTGTTTGTCAGCCAAGGTAGGCTTATCTCCATTTAAAACACACACACACACACACACACACACACACACACACACACACACACACACACACCTACCGGTGTCGGTCCATCTGATACTGTGGTCGACGCATTACCAGGAGGCGAGGCAGAATGTGTATGAAGACCCGTCTCACCCAGGGAGCCATGGAGTGTGTTTGGGGCGACCGGAAGTGTACGTTGAGCACCACCACCGTCACGCAGATGCTGCCGAGAGTGTAACTGTTAGTGACTGTTTAGGGACCAGTCAAGTGGGTCAAACAAATTACTGGCGTAACACTCAGGGGTTCAGACCAGTCACAGGACCAGTTAGTGATGCCAAACCAGTTGCTGAACTAACAGTCAGTGAGTCACACCTGCTGCTGAAGTAACAGTCGGTGAGTCACACCTGTTGCTGAAGTAACAGTCATTAGTCACACCAGTTGCTGAAGTAACAGTCAGTAGTCACACCAGATGCTGAAGTAACAGTCAGTAATCACAGCAGCTGCTGAAGTAACAGTCAGTAATCACTCCAGTTGCTGAGTAACATTCAGTGAGTCACTCCAGTTGATGAATTAACAGCCAGTAGTCACTCCAGTTGTTGAAGCAACAGTCAGTAGTAACTCCAGTTGCTGAAGTAACAGTCAGTGAGTCACTCCAGTTGCTAAAGTAACAGCCAGTAGTCACTCCAGTTGCTGAAGTAACAGTCAGTGAGTCACTCCAGTTGCTAAAGTAACAGTCAGTGAGTCACTCCAGTTGCTGAAGTAACAGTCAGTGAGTCACTCCAGTTGCTAAAGTAACAGTCAGTGAGTCACACCAGTTGCTGAAGTAACAGTCAGTGAATCACTCCAGTTGCTAAAGTAACAGTCAGTGAGTTACTCCAGCTGCATAAGTAACAGTCAGTTAGTTACTCCAGTTGCTGAAGTAACAGTCAGTAGTCACTCCAGTTGCTGATTTAACAGTCAGTAGTCACTCCATTCGCTTAAGTAACAGTCAGTAGTCATTCCAGCTGCACAAGTAACAGTCAGTGAGTCACACCAACTGCTGAAGTAACAGTCAGTGAGTCACAGCAGCTGATGAAGTAGCAGTCACTCGTCACTCCAGTTGCTGAAGTAACAGTCGGTAGTCACTGCATTCGCTTAAGTAACAGTCAGTAGTCACTCCAACTGTTGAAGTAACAATAGGTAGTCACTTCAGTTGCTGAAGTAACAGTCAGTAGTGACTTCAGTTGCTGAAGTAACAGTCAGTAGTCACTCCAGCTGCTGAAGTAACAGTCGGTAATCACTCCAGTTGCTGAAGTAACAGTCAGTGAGTCACACCGGCTGCTAGGCATGGCCAGTTGGAAAATGGTCCACTTCTGTCTTCTGAGTCAAGAGTCGTGACAGCTAATAACATTTACTCAAGGGTACTGTACTCGGGGGTTTGTTGCTATACTCAAAGAGTTAAGTTATTGTACTCCGAGAATTGTGCTCAGGGGATTAAATTATCATCCTCAAGTGTGTTTTTATTATACTCAGGGGGTTAATTTGTCGTACTTAGGGGGTTAAGTTATCGTACTTGGTGATTAAAATCCTAATCAATCTTACTGAAACTGAAAAAAATGCTGAGGTAGTCTTTTGTGTTTTGATAACAAGACGGCAGAAATAAGAGTGGTTCCTATAGGCCTGACGAACTGTTCGGGGCAGTGTGGATACAACACACTGTAGACTAAACCTGCGGTACACAAGAAAAACCGTACTTAGCCGCCTTTAATTTTCTAAGAGTAAAGGTAGATATCCATTCACAGCTTTGTGAACTGGGGGTGTAACCCTTAGGTCCGTAGGAGAGCATTATACCCACTCTGCCGCCACCTTCTTAATAACACGGTATAACCAGCCCAAAAAAGTATCACAAATATTTATTCTTGAACAAAATAATCATGAAACAAATTCTAGCATGTACATTATTATAAGCTGTAACTCTGAAGTTCGGGAATTTGTGTTACTTTCCCGGCGGAGTTCAACACAACAGAATACTAAGACCACTCACCTTAACGTGTCTAATATCATAGTAAACAACACGAACTTTCCTAGTAACGGCACAACTAGTGATGTCGGCGGAATGATCTCTGCTAACAGCAAGAAGAACACCGTGAGGGAGAGCAAGATGCTGATGGACAAGCTGACCTGTGGGAGGGATGGACGGAGGTGATGTTACTACACACGGCACCACTCACATACGGCCCGGTCTGATGCAGCCTCTCTTCACTCCACCCACCCTAAGACCTCATCTGCAAATTTGGTGAGAAACTTCTGCACCATCCTCGACACCGGCTCCTATTACCACCCGAGATCCCTCTCCTGAAAATTGCTGTTCGACACCAACACCGCATCCAGCCCTTACGAGCACGCACTGATCGCTATAAGAACAGCCCAGTCCCAACCATTGTAAAAATTATCAATAACTTGTAATAAACCGGTGTATTCACTCCCTGTCAATCTAACTTTTTGCACTGTCACTATGTTGAAATGCCCTGTAGTATGACCTTCTCCCCATCCAGTTATTATATATCACATTTGTTTCACTTATGTTACTTGTGTATTATTTGTAAATCAAGAGAACCATTCACCAATTATGTAACTGTATATGTTCAGCCTTCCGGTTGCCATGCTGTTTCAATAAGCCGTAAATTATTATTACTATTAAGAAGGTATAAGAGCAAGGGAAATAGAGATTAGATGGGTGGGTAGGAGGAGGAGAGGTATGACAAACCTACCCGGATCAGGTGAACAAATTGGGGAAAGTTTAGTCCTGAATTTAGTGTAAGTGGAGGCAAACAATGATTGCACCTTCTCACCCCCTCCACACACACAGATGAAACCGTTAGAGGTAAATTAAAAAAAGTAATAATTCTATGTCTAAAAAAACACACACAATAGCTGGTGTCATCTCCTTGTGTCTGGCGAACAGCTTCAACTCTTACAAGAGATTTTGGAGGAGTATATGGAAGTGGTGCTATAAAGGTTCGGGGGCAGGATCAGGTGGCTCAGGGTTCAGCAAGCGTTAGGGTTTCCACTCGCTCCTTCACAATGGATTCTTCATGTTCGCACACGGTTAAGTCTGGTGAATTATCCGGCCACACATTGTTCCTGAAGATATCCACAGAGTTGCCGCTCAACAGCAGCTCGGCTTAAAGAGCCTCATAGTGTCATGTAACCCGCCCACCTAACTGTGACAAGTGCCCCTCCCACCACATAGTGTTGTGGTGTCCACAACATAGTGTCATGTAACCCGCCCACCTAACTGTGACAAGTGCCCCTCCCACAACATAGTGTCATGTAACCCGCCCACCTAACTGTGACAAGTGCCCCTCCCACAACATAGTGTCATGTGTAACCCGCCCATCTAACTGTGACAAGTGCCCTCCCACAACATAGTGTCATGTGACCCGCCCACCTCACAGTGACAAGTGCCCCTCCCACCACATAGTGTCACAGACCGCCCACCTCACAGTGACAAATTTCCCACCACATAGTGTCATGACCCGCCCACCTCACAGTGACATGTGCCCTCCCACCACATAGTTTCATGTGGCCCATCACAGTGTCATGACCCGCCCACCTAACAGTGTCATAAGAAAATAAAATATAAGAATGGAGGAAACTGCAACGGGCCTATTGGCCCATACTGGCCGTCCCAGTACACCCAACCCCTATGGCTCATATAACCACCCACCTATGTTTGAAGCTATCCAGCGTATTCGAGTTAATGATGATATTTGGTAACTTGTTCCAGTCATCCATTAATCTATTTCGAAACCAATGCTTACCTATTTCGCGCCTAAATCTAAATTTGTTTAATTTAAAACCATTGTTACGAGTTCGCTCCTGGTTGGATAGCTTGAGTACCTTTTGTTATGTCCCCTTTGTTTAGCCCTTTCTTCCATTTATACACCTCTATCATGTCGCCCTCACTCTACGTCTCGAGGGAGTGCAAATTAAGATGCTTTAACCTGTTCTGTACTCAAGGTTCCTAATGCCCGATTAGTCTTGTCATTCTCCTCTGAATTCTTTCCAGGATTATATATCCATTCTGTAATACGGTGACCAGAACTGAACTGTGTAGGCCAGGTGTGGTCTCACAAGAGCAAGATATAGATTTAGGACGACCTCTTGTATTGTAACTAACACCATGTGCCCCGCCCACCACACAGTGAGAAGTGCCCCCTGCCCACCACACAGTGAGAAGTGCCCGCCCATCACACGGTGAAAGTGCCCCGCCCACCACACAGTGAGAGTGCCCTGCCCACAACACAGTGAGAGTGCCCTGCCCACCACACAGTGAGAAGTGCCCCGCCCACACACGGTGAAAGTGCCCTGCCCACAACACAGTGACAAGTGCACCGCCCACCACACAGTGACAAGTGCACCGCCCACCACACAGTGAGAAGTGCCCCGGCCCACCACACGGTGACAAGTGCACCGCCCACCACACAGTGACAAGGCCCCTGCCCACCACACAGTGAGAAGTGCCCGCCCACAACACAGTGACAGTGCACCGCCCACCACACAGTGACAAGTGCCCTGCCCACCACAGTGAGAAGTGCCTGCCCACAACACTGTGACAAGTGCACTGCCCACCACACGTGAGAAGTGCACCGCCCACAACACAGTGACAAGTGACCTGCCCACCACACAGTGACAAGTGCCCCTGCCCACAACACAGTGACAAGGACCTGCCCACCACACACTGTGACAAGTGCCCTGCCCACCACACAGTGACAAGTGCACTGCCCACCACACTGTGTCAGACCCGCCCACCACACAGTGTCATGTGACCTGCCCACCACACTGTGACAAGTGACCCGCCCACCACAGTGTCATGTGACCCGCCCGCCTCACTGTGACAAGTGCCCGCCCACAACACAGTGACAGACTCCAGCCCACCACACTGTGACAAGTGCCCCGCCCACCTCACTGTGACAGCACCCCGCCCACCACACTGCGACAAGTGCCCGCCCACAACATAGTGTCATGTGACCTGCCCACCTCACAGTGACAAGTGCCCCTCCCACCACATAGTGTCATGTGACCCGCCCACCTCACTGTGACAAGTGCCCTCCCACCACATAGTGTCACATGTGACCGCCCACCACAGTGACAAGTGCCCTCCCACCACATAGTTTCATGTGAACCGCCCACCTCACAGTGTCATGTGACCCGCCCACCTAACAGTGGTCATAAGAAAATAAATATAAGAATGGAGGAACTGCAACGGGCCTATTGGCGCATACTGGTCAGTCCCAATTACACCCACCCCTATGGCTCATATATATCCAACCAACCTATGTTTGAAGTTTATCCAGCGTATAGAGTTAATGATGATATTTGGTAACTTGTTTCCTACTCATCCATTAATCTATTTCAGCCAATTCTTCCTATTTCGCGCCTAAATCTAAATTTGTTTAATTTAAAACCATTGTTACGAGTTCGCTCCTGGTTGGATAGCTTGAGTACCTTTTGTTATGTCCCTCGTTTGTTCTTTCTTCCATTTTTACATAACCTCATCATGTCGCCCTCACTTTGCGTCTCTCGAGGAGTGCAAGTTAAGATGCTTTAACCTGTCTCTGTACTCAAGGTTCCTAATGCCTGGTTGAATTCTTGTCATTCTCCTCGAATTCTTTCCAAGATTCTATATCCATTCCAATACGGTGACCAGAACTGAACTGTGTAGGCCAGGTGGTCTCACAAGAACAAGATATAGATTTAGGACGACCTCTAGTATTGTAACAACACCATGTGCCCTGCCCACCACACAGTGAGAGTGCCCCGCCCACCACACAGTGAAAGTGTCCTGCCCACACACAGTGAAGTGCCCCCGCCCACCACACAGTGAAGTGCCCCGCCCACTGAACACAGTGAGAGTGCCCCGCCCACCACACAGTGAAGTGCCCTGCCCACCACACAGTGAGAAGTGCCCCGCCCACAACACAGTGACGTGCACTGCCCACCACACAGTGACAAGTGCGCACACGGTGAGTAGTGCCCGCCCACACACGGTGACAAGTGCACTGCCCACCACAGTGACAAGTTGGCCCCGCCACCACACGGTGAGGGTGCCTGCCACAACACGGTGACAAGTGCACCGCCACCACACAGTGACAAGTGCCTGCCACCGCACGGTGAGTAGTGCCTGCCCGACGCATTGATGCGTGCCGCCCACTCACACAGTGAGAGTGCACTGCCCAGTGACACAGTGACAAGGACCTGCCCACCACACGGTATGCCCGCCCATAACACTGTGACAAGTGACCCCGGCCCACCACACTGTGACAAGTGCCTGCCCACCACACACAGTGACAAGTGCGCTGCCCACCACACACAGTGAGAAGTGCCCTGCCCACCACACTGTGACAAGTGCACCGCCCACCACACAGTGACAAGTGCTCCCACCACAGTGGAGAAGTGCCCGCCCACAACACAGTGACAAGTGGATCGCCTACCACATGGACAAGTGCCCTGCCCACAGTGAGAAGTGCTCGCCCACAACACAGTGACAAGTGCCTGCCCACTACCACAGGAAGGTACCTGCCCATTAACAGCAGACAAGTGACCCGCCCACACACACAGTGACAAGTGCCCTGCCCACAGTGACAAGGACCCACCCACTGTCAGCACAAGTGCCCACACAGTGGATAAGTGACGCCACGACACAGTAAGTCGCGTGACCTGCCCACCACACTGTGTCATGTGATCTGCCCAATTATCACACGGCGGATGTCGTGCCCTGCCCAATTCACTGTGTCATGACCTCGCTGGCCTCTGTCGGTGACAGTGCCAACATACAGTGACAAGTACCCAGCCCAATCACACTGTGACAAGTGCCCTGCCCACCTCATTTCAGACAGTACCCGCCCACCACATCATGGACAAGGCCTGCCCACAACATTGTGTCATGTGACCCGCCCACACCCCACAGTGATATGCCCCTCCCCATCATTATAGTGCGTCATGCACCGCCCACTGCCAGTGACAAGTGCCCTCCCACCACATAGTGCGTCATGGACCGTGCCCACTCACTGTGACAAGTGCCCTCCCACCACATTGCCAGTGAAACTGCCCACTCCTGCAGTGTCATGTGACCTGCCCACCCAACAGTGCCACAAGAAAATAAGTGTAAGAATGGGGTGAAACTGCAACGCCTGTTGCCCATACTGTCAGTGCTGCTTCACCCGACCATCATGTTGCAGTACCAACTATCTTTATGTAGTTACTCCGTATTAGAGTTGATGATATTTGGTATCTGTTCACCATTCACCTATTTCAAACCACTCACCTATTTCTTGCCTAAACCAAAATTTGTTAATTTGTCCATTGTTACGTAGTTCTGTTGAATAGTTGAGCAATTATAGTGTCCTTGTTTGGTTCTTTGTTCCATCACCCTATCAAGTCGCTCTCACCCATGCTCTCGAGTGAGGTGCAAATTAAGATAAGCTCCTGTCTCTGTACCAAGGTTCCTATGCCCTGTTAGTCAAGTTTCTCCTCTGAATTTTTTTCCAAGTACTGTGATCCATTCTGTAACATGGTGACCAGAACTGGAACTGTGTGTAGGCCAGGGTGGTCTTCACAAGAGCAAGATATAGATTTCTGCACGAATCTCTCAGTGCCAGGACCCACACCCATGTGCCCTGCCCACCACACTGTGGAAGTGGCCTGGCCCACAACACGGTGGAGAGAAGTGCCCACCACACTGTGAGTGCCTGCCCACAACACTGCAAGTGCCTGCCTCAACACTGGAGAAGTGCCTGCTCACCACACAGTGAGAAGTGCCCGCCCACCAAAGGACAGTGACGCACTGCCCACCACACTGTGACAGGGTGAACTGCCCACCACAGGCGGCCTGCCCACACACTGCGGCTGCCCTGCCCACCACACCAGGAGGCGAGCCCACCACACTGTGACAAGTGCGACCCGCCCACCACACTGTGACAAGTGCCCACCACACCAGACAAGTGACCCGCCCACCACACTGTGACACCCCCACCACACTGCACAAGTGACCTGCCCACCACACTGTGACAAGTACCCCGCCCACCACACTGTGAGGCACTGTGACACCACACTGTGACAAGTGACCTGCCCACCACAGTATGCGACCTGCTCACCACACTGGACAAGTACCCGCCACCACACTGTGACAAGGACCCGCCCACCACACTGTAGTGGCAAGTGACCCGCCCACCACTGTGACAAGTACCCCGCTAACACACTGTGACAAGGACTGCCTGCCAACACTGCTGGGTGACCCGCTCACCACACTGCGACTGGTGCCCCGCCCACACTGTGACGGGACCCGCCCACCACACTGTTACGCCCATCACACTGTGACAAGTGACCTGCCCACCACACTGTGACAACTGAGCCGCCCACCACCGTGACAAGGCCCGCCCACCACACTGTGACAAGGCTGCGCCCACCACACTGTGACGGGCATTCTGCCCACCACACTGTGACGACCCGCCCACCACACTGGACAAGGACCCGCCCACCACACGAGGTGCCCCGCCCACCACACTGTGACGGTGACCTGACTAATTGTAGACAAGTTCGCCCACCACATGGCGGACCCACCACACTGTGACAGTACCCTGCCCACCACACTGTGACAAGTATCCCGCCCACCACACTGTGACAAGTGACCTGCCCACCACACTGTGACAAGTGACCCGCTCCAACACACTGTGACAAGTGACCCGCTCACCAACACTGTCAGATGTGCCCTGCTCACACACTGTGACAAGTGCCCACCACACTGTGACAGGCCCTCCCACCACACTGTGACAAGTGCCCTGCCCACCACACTGTGGCAAGTACCCCTGCCCACATCACTGTGACAAGTGCCCCGCCGACCTCACTCAGACAAGTGCCCCGCACCCCACACTGTGACAATGCCTGCCCACCTCACAGTGTCATGGACTGCCCACCTCACTGTGACAAGTACCCCCGCCCACCACACTGTGACAAGTGCCCTGCCCACCACACTAGAATGTGCCCCGCCCACCACACTGTTACAAGGTGACCCGCCCACCACACTGTGACAAGTGCCCTGCTCACCACACACTGTAGTGACCTGCCCACCACACTGTGACAAGTGCCCTGCCCATCACACTGTGACAAGTGCCCCGCCCACCACACTGTGATAAGTGCCCCACACGACCACACTGCAAGTGCCTCGCCCACAACACTGTGACAAGTTCCCCTGCTCACCACACTGCAATGCCCCGCCCACCACACTGTGACAAGTTCCACGCCCATCGGTACCAGACACCTGCCCACCACACTGTGACAAGTGCCCTGCCCACCACACTGTGACAAGTGCCCGCCCACCACCACTGTGACAAGTGCCTCGCCCACCACACTGTGACACGTGACCCGCCCACCACACGACAGGTGCCCGCCCACCACACTGTGACAACTGCCTCGCCCACACCACTGGCAAGTTTGCCTCGCCCACCACACTGTGACAAGTGCCCCGCCCACACACCAACAAGTGCCCCCCACCACACTGTGACAAGTGCCCCGCCCACCACACTGTGACAAGTGCCTCTCCCACCACCTGTGACAAGTGCCTTGCCCACCACACTGTGACAAGTGCCTCGCCCACCACACTGTAGCAGTGCCCGCCCTGTGACAAGTGCCCCGCCCACCACACTCGTGACAAGTGCCTCCCCACCACACTGCTGAAGTGCCCCGCCCACCACACTGTGACAAGTAGCCGCCCACCACACTGTGACAAGTGCCCCACTCTTCCCACCACACTGTGAAAGTGCCCCGCCCACCACACTGTGACAGTGCCCGCCCACCACACTGTCGACAAGTACCCCGCCACCACCTGTTATCAGTGCCCGCCCCACGCATCAGTGCCTGCACTGTGACAAGTGAGCCGCCCACCACACACTGAGACAAGTGCGCCCCACCACACTGTGACAAGTGCGCTGCCCACCACACTGAGCAAATCCCCGCCCACCTCACTGCGACAAGTGCCCCGCCCACCTCACTGTGACAAGTGCCCCGCCCACCACACTGTGACAAGTACCCCGCCCACCTCACTGTGACAAGAGCCCGCCCACTGCTGCAGTGCCCTGCCCACCACACTGTGACAAGTGCCCCGCCCACCACACTGTGACAAGTGAGCCTCCCACCACACTGTGACAAGTGAGCCCGCCCACACACTGTGACAAGTGCCTCGCCCATCACACTGTGACACTGGTGATGGCACACATGGTGGAATGAGATCAATAACACATGGTGGAATGAGATCAATAACACATGGTGGAATGAGATCAATAACACATGGTGGAATGGATCATAAAGTGGGTGTGTTCTGTTTATAGTCTGACCTGCTCACGTGCTGGACTGTTTGTGCAAAGGTACAATAATTAGTAATGTAACAGATTTATGAACAATTATTGTATCTTAATAAATAATTTGCTGAAAATCATTAATAAAATAAATATAATGGGATATTACCACAATCTTCAGACTGTATTAAACTGTGAATATAATGTGAGCTGAACCATAAACCATTAAAGAAGACAGTTCAAACCTCGAAGAATGAGCCTCAGAACCTTTATTAAAGATCCACGATTACATGGAGACCAGACGTATTAGTCTCTGTGTGTATATACTGTACAGTACAGTATACTGTGTAGTGTTACCGTGATAGAAAACATTATATATAAACTGTACGGTGTGTTACTCTTAAAGTGTGTTACTTAAAGTGTGTTACCTTGAAGTGTGTTAATTTCAGTGTGGTAATTTTAAAGTGTGTTACCTTAAAGTGTGGCACTTAAAGTAGTGTACTCTTAAAAATGTTTCTAGTTAATGAAAGTATTTTATTCAGTGTCATGTAACCATCTCTCTCGCTCAGAAATAGTCCTGTGTGCAAACGACTACTTTTATTTGTATAAAATTCTGTCTCTACCCAGGTGTGTGTGTGTGTGTGTGTGTGTGTGTGTGTGTGTGTGTTAGTAAGTTACCTTCTCGCCGGAGTCTGAGGGGAGGTAGAAGACGAGGACTGTGAGGAAGGAGATGCCCATGCAGGGAATGATGAGGTTTACGGTGTAGAAGAGCGTCTTCCTCCTCATAGATGTTGAACGTGATGTCCAAGTAAGGTCTATTACAACACGTAATAATTTCTCGTCTGTGAGGATAACTGGTTAATGGTGGTGGTGTTGGTAGGTGGTGCATGGTGTTGGTGATAGTGGTTGTGGGTATTATAGTAGTGGTGAGGTGGTGTGATGATGATGGTGACCCCTGCACACACACACAGGTGAACTTCCCAACAAGAACAGCCCTTGTGGTAAAGAGCTGTCCAGATGTAATACTGACATACAAGCCTAAGTCCGCCACTATCCCATTTACGGAGTTGGTTTTATTATTCGCCACACTGTACTATCTTACACCAGCTAACCCGGAAATCCCTGTTAGGGGCCAAGGAGGCCTCCTCCGCTCAGAGTCTCACTGACACACTGCCGCACCATCAGTACATGCGCCTTAACACAGGATGGAGGATGGCCTGCGAGTCCGGTCTTTATGAGGACCTCCTGATAGATTACAACTTCATCCTCAAGTAAGATATACAGTTCTCGGTGACTTAAAGTGGCAAAAGGTGCTGACTAATGGCAGGGAACCACAGGGAACGGAGGGGCAAGTGTATCAATGGCCTACCTCAGTGGGGCAAGCTGCACAACCTCACTATCACCCAATAATTTGTTTGTGCAGCCCGACAAGTTCAAGGTTCGTGGCAACATCTACGATCCAAAACTGGCATCTCATATTGACTACACATCATTGTCGTCCAAAACTGCAAAAGCAAATATCTTCGCCAGGCTGGAGTTTCAATGTTCAAACTGTAGCTGGAGGACCAGGCAGATTACGTTTTAGAGTATCTCCAGAGCTGCTGGAACACCCCTGTCAACTGCGCCTTAGATGATACAAAGTGCTACCCCAAGACCATCACCACGAAGACCGTGAGACCCTCGGCCAGTCCAGAAGAAAATAACCAGGCACTCATCTTCTACCAGACGCTGCCTCATTAATCCGACAAACAACCCACCATCAGTTTCACACCAAAGGCAACAGTCCGTCACCAAAGGCAAAGCCCAGCATGAACTTCAGGGTGTAGATGAAGAACAAGGGACTAAATGCGCATGGCACACGAAGTTTGTAGAGCAAGAAAGCAGAAGAATATCTAAAGCCATCTACGGCTCAGATACTAACGCTGTGGCCTCCTTCACCTACGACGCTAACACTTATCAAAGACCAATGGCATCTTGAGCGCCGGAAAGAGCACTACCAACCCATTAGTGCATTAATAACCTTGTTACGCGCGTTTAAAAGATCTGTGTTGTTAAAGTGCAGTGACATTGATTATAACAACAACTGCTAACTGAAACACCGGGATGTGAGTCCTGATTACCAGATGGTCTCTCGGCTCGGGTCCCACCTCGACTATCTCCACCTGCGGCGAAGAAACCGTCGCACTTTCTCCCGGAGTATTATGGAAACCGAAGGAAATCTTTCACAGCAGGCTACCATCATCAACCTTAATATGATCTATATAATACACTGTATAAGAACAGAGGAAACAGAACAAACTAGGGAACTGCTGCAAGACCTCAGTGCTGTCCAAAGCTGCAAGACTTTGCCTAAGCCCTCCTCAACGTGCTCTTCCTGGGGCAGAAAAATTTCCTGCCGAATTACACACGCACATATGGCCCAATCTTACTGCCCGTCAGATACAGGAGGTACAGAGAACAGAGCCGTGACCTGTACATTGCCTTCATCGACCCATTTCAAGGTCTGGGTCAGGGAAGACCTTGCTGTTTGGTTGCCCACCCAAAATTCACCTCCAATGTGAGGCAAATCCGTAGAAATGAGATACGTCTCCTACATAATGACACCCAGCGAAAGTTCCTCTTACCATCCAAAATTAGAATAAAACAAGGATGTGTATTAGCGGGGTGGACATATGATACCGGATGAAGGCACAAGCAAGACGACTCCAGGCAGGGAACAAAGGTTGACGCTTCCGTTACTGAATTTCGATATGCAGACAACGTCATCTTGTTGTTTGCATTGAACATGACCTAACAGGATCCTGGAACACCTCGCAGACGCCTTGAGGCAGGAATGCATAAGACTTGTAGGATCTTCCAGACATCCCCGTCAGCTGCACCCCACCCAATGTTAACCACTTCCATTACCTGTTCACGTGGACATCGGTGAAGAGACCAGCACGATCAGATATGGCGACTTAGCGGACAACTATGTAACTGTAATGCATATCGTAAACAGTGGTCCTTCTCAACCCGCTGTATGACAGTGAAACATCTTTCACATACAGGAGACACTTCGAGTCATGGGTCACAAGCAAGAGACACCAGCAGTATGGCAGTGAGACATGGGTTACATACAGGAGACACCAGCAGTAGGGCAGTGAGACATGGGTTACATACAGGAGACACCAGCCAGAAGCAAGGAGACATGATTCACATAAGGAGGCACCTCGCTATTTGACAACTTTTCACCACCGTAGTCTACGTTCCATCCTCCAGAGTCCAATTTTACACAAGAGAACAATGCAAATATTCTTCCTGACATCAACTGTAGAAGCATCGAGGCTACCATTATCCATGAACAACTGCCGGACTGGCCATGCTACCTGCATGGGACGACAGTAGATACCAAAGTAGCTACTTACAGTCACCTAACGAATGAGAAACGTAATGTTTGGCGGGCAACGGAGAAGGCATAAGGATAGTCTGGCAACCTGAATGCCAAATCGACCCCCTCACCTGGGGAGACGATCGCGCCACACCGCATGCTTGAGTGAGCACCATACGAGAAGGTGCCAATACTTTCGAGCTTGTCTTCTACTGCTAATCGGGAGGCAGATAGGCGCCAACGTTGCTGCTCCTCCTGTTTCAGATGAAGCCCCACAACATCTGTGACCGTCCTCCTGCCCGCATCGGCCTCCTGGTCACTTCAGAGCTCACCGAACGAAGGTGACATCTTAATATCTCATATCATTGTATCCTGATGGCCATCGTTGAACCTGACTCCCAGTGACAGCAACAAAGGCTAGGAAATCCATGGTGATGATGATGGTGTTAATAATCATGAATGTGGTAGTACAGCAATGAGTTAGCATTATTATCATCATAATTATAACTACCATTATCATCATTATCATCATCGTTGATATTATTATTATTATTATTAATATTTTATTATTATTAATATTATTATTATTATTAATATTATTATTATTATTATTATTATTATTACTATTGTCATCACAATGCAAAAGCTATTATCCCATCAACAATAAGCATAAAGTGTGTGTGTGTGTGTGTGTGTGTGTGTGTGTGTGTGTGTGTGTTAACATATGTGTATTTAAGAAAAAGAGAAGCAGAGAGGCAGAGAGGCAGTAGAGAGGTAGTACAGAGGCAGTACAGAGGTAGTAGAGAGGCAGTAGAGAGGCAGTAGAGAGGGCAGTAGAGAGGGGCAGTAGAGAGGCAGTAGAGAGGTAGTGGGGAGGCAGAGGCAGTACAGAAGGTACAGAGGTAGTAGAGAGGTAGTAGGAGAGGGGCAGAGAGGGCAGTACAGAGGTAGTAGAGAGGCAGAGAGAGGTAGTAGAGAGGCTGTAGAGAGGCAGTAGAGAGGCAGTGCAGAGGTAGAGAGAGGGAAGCAGAGAGGCAGTAGAGAGGCAGGAGAGGCAGTAGAGAGGCAGTAGAGAGGTAGTAGAGAGGCAGAGGGCAGAGGCACAGAGGCAGTACAGAGGTAGTAGAGGAGGTAGTAGAGAGGCAGAGAGGCAGCAGAGAGGCAGTAGAGAGGCAGAGAGGCAGTAGAGAGGCAGTAGAGAGGCAGTAGAGAGGCAGTAGGGAGAGGCAGAGAGGCAGAGGAGGCAGAGAGGTAGAGAGGCAGACAGGAGGCAGTAGAGAGGCAGTAGAGAGGCAGAGAGGCAGTAGAGAGGCAGAGAGAGGTAGACAGAGGTAGAGAGGCAGTAGAGAGGCAGAGAGGCAGAGAGAGGGGCAGAGACAGAGAGAGGCAGAGAGGCAGTAGAGAGGCAGAGAGGTAGAGAGGCAGTAGAGAGGCAGAAGGCAGAGAGGCAGTAGAGAGGCAGCAGAGAGGTAGTAGAGAGGCAGAGAGGCAGAGAGGCAGGCAGTAGAGGAGGCAGAGAGGTAGAGAGGCAGAGAGAGGCAGAGAGGCAGAGAGGTAGAGAGGCATTAGAGACAGCAGAGAGGCAGCAGAGAGAGGTAGAGACAGAGAGGTAGTAGACAGGCAGAGAGAGGTAGAGAGCAAGGTAGAGAGGCAGAGAGGAGGCAGAGAGGGGCAGTAAAGAGGCAGTAGAGAGGCAGAGAGAGACAGAGAGGCAGTAGAGAGCAGTAGAGAGGCAGTAGAGAGGCAGTAGAGAGGCAGTAAAGAGGCAGTAGAGAGGCAGAGAGGCAGTAGAGAGGCGTAGAGAGGCAGTAGAGAGGCAGTAGAGAGACAGTAGAGATGCAGACAGAGATGTGGTAGAGAGACAGTAGAGATGGGTAGAGACAGTAGAGATGGGTAGAGAGACAGAGAGATGGGAGAGACAGAGATGCAGAGACAGTAGAGATGGAGAGACAGTAGAGAATGGGGTAGAGGAGACAGGAGAGATGGGAGAGAGACAGAGATGGGTGACATTGCAGAGATGGGGAGAGACAGAGATGGGGAAGACAGAGATGGGGTAGAGACAGAGAGATGGGTAGAGACAGTAGAGATGGGTAGAGACAGTAGAGTGGAAGAGACAGTAGAGATGGGCAGAGACAGAGAGATGGGCAGAGACAGTAGAGATGGGCAGAGACAGAGATGGGTAGAGAGAGAGTAGAGATGGGTAGAGAGACAGTAGAGACAGTAGAGCAGTAGAGATGTAGAGAGGCAGTAGAGATGGGAGAGAGAGAGAGAGATGGGTAGAGAGGCAGAGAGATGTGGGGAGACAGTAGAGATGGGTGGGGAGAGACAGAGAGATGGGAGAGAGACAGTAGAGATGGGGAGACACAGTAGAGATAGGTAGAGACACAGTAGAGATGGGGTAGAGAGACAGTAGAGATGGGTAGAGACACAGTAGAGATGGGGTAGAGACACAGTAGAGATGGGTAGAGACACAGTAGAGATGGGTAGAGACAGCAGAGATGGGAGACAGCAGAGATGGGTAGAGACACAGAGATGGGGAGACACAGAGAGATGTAGAGACACAGAGATGGGTAGAGAGACAGTAGAGATGGGTAGAGAGACAGAGAGATGGGTAGAGCACAGAGATGGGTAGAGAGACAGAGATGGGTAGAGACAGGAGATGGGTAGAGAGACAGAGAGAGGGGTAGAGACACAGTAGAGATGGGTAGAGACAGTAGAGATGGGTAGAGACACAGAGATGGGTAGACAGAGAGATGGGCAGAGACACAGAGATGGGGAGAGGCAGGAGATGGGTAGAGAGGCAGAGATGGGTAGAGACACAGCAGAGATGGGGCAGAGAGACAGCAGAGATGGGTAGAGACACAGCAGAGATGGGTAGAGACACAGAGAGATGCGGAT